GCACAAATTTTTGTGCACCGGGCCTCTAGTTTGTAATAAAATGCCACCTATGTGAAGTGCAGTAAAACAAGGTATGCCTACACAGACTTTAGGGTTGACAGCATGTGTTTCTCTAGCTCCTTTATTCCCTTAAACTGCCATGGGCTTGATTACACTGTGGCTCACCTTTCTTCATTGTTGTTGCAAGACTGCTCAGGTGGTACTGTTTACTCTGTACTGCATCACCTCAGGAGGCATTTGATATCCACTTGTTCTCTATTAGTGTTACAGTAATAGTGTTTCTAAATCACTGGGTATTTTCGTTCCTAAAAGCTTATCCGATACCACATATTCACGACAACGTGCATGTGGTAACCAAGCTACCAGGTTAATCCAGAGTTAACAGAGGCAACAGAAGTTATCAATTAATGGTCAGAGAAACAGGGAAGGAATTGTTCCTTTGGTAGATAAGAGGCCAAAAAGTAGAGAAGGATTTGACTATAGATGGAGAGGAAGCCAGAGGACAAATAAGATGTTCAAAGAACAAGATACTGGGTTCCAATTACGGTTCTAAAAGATATTTTACACACTTGTACCAATAAATGTTTCCAAATAAATTCAGAAAACCCAAGAATTCTTTATTTTATGATGTTAGTTTACCAAACACCTTATAAAAATTTCTACCTTTCTTGCTTAAGAGCAAGGTGCTGCTCTGTAAGCCAAAGGTTCCTAACTAGACTACAAAGTGGGTTATCCTTGGAACTTTAAACTACTGAGGCATGGCTCCCACCCAATCAATTCTGATTCAATGGGTTTAAGGCAGCGGTTCTCAACCTGTGGGTCGCGACCCCTTTGGGGGTCGAACGACCCTTTCACAGGGGTCGCCTAAGACCATCGGAAAACACATATATAATTACATATTGTTTTTGTGATTAATCACTATGCTTTAATTATGTTCAATTTGTAACAGTGAAATTGGGGGTCACCACAACATGAGGAACTGTATTAAAGGGTCTTGGCATTAGGAAGGTTGAGAACCACTGGTAAGGTGAGGACCAGGTATTATTTAAACAGTATTATTCAAAAGTCTTTCCAGGTGACTCTAATATGTAGCCATAATTGAGAACCACTGCTCTTAGCTAAGGTTAACAATAGCAGCAATATTTACTAAGCATGTGTTGTATGTTATATACTGTTCTAAGTACTTTAAATAATGAGTTCATTTGCTATTTTATAAGTGAGGAAACAGAGAGGTCAGGTAACTTGCCCAGGGTCACAGAGCAAGCTAACAGCAGAGTTAAGATTAAATATCAAGAAGTTTGGATCAAAAGCCCTTGTTCTTAATGACCATGATATTCTGGCCTCCTAAGCATAAATTATATTTGTATTCTTTAATTGCAAATAAAATGATCAAAGAAAAAAAATTAGATAATTAACTTTCTCCTTAGAAATATTACAGTGGCATTTTGTTGCAAGGGTACGAGCACAGGCTTGTTACAAAAGTAAATAAACAAACAGATAAATATTGTCTCTTCCCAAAAGATTCAAATTTGAGATTCACTCAGGCTTTCAATAATTTCCCACATTATTATCCATATAGTATAGTTATTCAATCGTAAGTATCAAAAATTGCTTTAGTTGTAAAACTCAGGCAATAATGTATTACATGTACATTTATAAGAAAATTTCCTACCTATTTCAGTTCTGCTAAGTCCAATTCCATTATAAATTCTCAAGTAATTTAAATGACAAGAATCAGAATCTTCAATGTCAAAGTCACCAAATTTGATGCGCAATCTTTCTCCCATCTTTACACGAATCTCCCATTCACAAACGGTGCTGTTGGGATAGGTCTGTGGGTAGTTTATGGACATAAGGGTTCCACTTTCAGGGCCTAGTACAGTGTGTCCACATCCATCACCTTTAAAAAGAATTAAAAGAACAATAAATTATTCTTACATCTTTAACTTAAACTGTAAATACATAGGATTTTAAAAAATGTATTCTATTATATATTTTATACTACCAATACTTTCTTTACACAAGATAAAAAAGATGACATAGTTCTTAGGATATCTATATACAGGAGCCAAGAGAGCCAGGTTAGGTAAAAATAATCAATAATTAACTTTATAATTTTTGAGTTCAAAGGACCTTCCAATCTGAATTAGAAGTAAACATAATTTGGCAAAAAATATATATACATGTCATAAATCCAAACTTGAAGAATATCAATTCATAGTAATTATTTTTTAATATATTTCTTTATTGATTTCAGAGAGGAAGGGAGAAGGAGAGATAGAAACATCAATGATGAGAGAGAATCATTGATCGGCTGCCTCCTGCATGCCCCCCACTGGGGATCGAGCCCGCAACCCAGGCATGTACCCTTGGCCGGAATCGAACCCGGGACCCTTCAGTCCGCAGGCCGAAGCTCTATCCACTGAGCCAAACCAGCTAGGACCATAGTAATTATTTAAAGTAAATGAAAACTATAAAAATGAAAGTATGTGACTAGTTTCATCTATTCATTTACAAATATCACAAACCTCTTCTAAAATCTGTGAGGTGAATGATTTCTGAAAGTACTTACTATATACTAAAGATAATGCAATCACTGATTATATGACACACTGCACGGCATGTCTTCTTGAAAGCATTAAAGCAATATTTATTGAAGTTTAATTTTATATTCTACTGAAATTCGACTTTTAGTAATCCCTCTGCAAAAGCCTCATTGTTTCCCTACAAAATGATGAGAAAATGTTTATTTAAAGATTAGGGGAAATGACCTTAATATCTTGGTAGTAGCATTATTTGTTCTAGAAATTTCTTCAGAAATTGGATATGAAAACTCAGGTAACTTAACACATTGTTTGTAAAAATAAAATATGTACATCCGTTCCTTTCTTATGAAATGTGTTATTTTACTGGGCAGGAGACATGCACTATTGATGAGAAGGGTTTCAGCTGCTGCTCCGATTCTACAGTTTAGCATTCCTTAATGACAGGATTCAAATACATTCTTTTTAATAGGAAGATTAATACATCTTTTTAAAATGATAGTATTTTCCCGTTCAAAAGAGCTATTGATAATCACTGTTTGGAATAGTTTGGTGCTTGCACAAAAAAACAATATTGAAAGTGACACTGCTGGGTTTTAATCTTAATATGGATAGAGATGGCTGTCATAGAATGTTCTGTTATCTTACCATTATCTTGAATTATTATTTTTAAGAACAATGTAGAACTGGTATCATTTAGTAGAATAGATGAAAGCTTTAACGGCCTATGAATAAGAACTTAACATAGTATCTAGCAAGTAGCAGTTGCAAAGTAAATGTTTATTAATGTTTATTAACCTACTAGAGGCCGATGCACAAAATTCGTGCAGGAGTAGCCCTTCCTTCCCCCGGCTGCAGGCACTGGCTTCCCTCTGGCACCCAGAACCTGGGCTTCCCTCACAGCCCCGGCTTCATCCAGAAGGTCGTCCGAAAGGACGTCTGGTCTAATTAGCATATTACACTTTTATTATTATAGATGAAATAATTTCAATCTTGTCTCAAAATTACCTTTAATGAAGAAACAACAGCTCTGGACCTAGATTCTGATGACTATGCTTCAAATCCTTTGTTGATAAAGAATTTTTATTCTCAAATCCATATGAGTACTGTTACTTAAGCTACTTTTAAAGGTTAGTCAGTATTTACAATCTGGCTTCCTACATAAATCTCTCTCCTATAAAGCTTAGCTTTTAATCAGTGTGAAACTTTACCTATCTTCTACACCTCCTTTCATCCTATACACAAGAACTAGGCATACCAACTCAACAAAATAATAATGCATAAAGGGACCATAAAATAAACATATGAATTTTTGTGTGATACACCCACTGATATTTTGCAAATATAAAACTTAGAATGTGATACAAATCAGAGAAAACACACACACACACACACACACACACACACACACAAATTTTTCCTGAAACTATCACGAAAATACCTTGAATATCTCTGTTGGAGATCATCTAAATTGGAAACATAGGAATATAAAACCCTCACTGTGAAAATAAATGAATTATAATGTAAGTAACTTTTGAACAATCATTAACATTCTTCCTTAGAGAAAAAAAACAAACAAACAACTACCCTAAGATAGAGTTTCTAACATGAAACTAGTCTGAAATGTTCTCTTATCATTGAAAAGATAAATACATGCTTTCTGGAAGTGTTTTGATCTTTAAAATGTAGCCACTGAATAAATGAAGTAACTCAAACTATAAATGTATTTCTTTTAGGAAACAGAAACTAAGGCAGCTTTTTTCCGTGGCTAGAAGTGTTGATGGATTTCAGAAAGCCAAGAATTTCCTATTAACAGCTGAATTCCTGACTTAGTAATGGCAGGTTGCTGCATTTAATGTATTCCCCATAGGCTGTTACTTAAGGTTGTGATTTTAAAATGGATTTTACAGAAAGTATAAGCTGAGAGTTAGTAGTAATTTTTGTCTTATGTTCATATTTCTGTTTGAGTCTCAATAATACACAAAACATTTCTTGTCCTTTCCTCCATAAAGCATATACTTTCTACACAAGTTAACACAGTAAATACTACTTGATGAAAAACAGGACTTTAGTGAGCACACTGATGAAGAGAACAATTAAATGGAGCTGTCCTTTTTCAGTATCTTGTGTAGGGGGAGGGCACCAACAGTCCACAAGTAATGTGCCAAGAATGTTTTAAAATATGTGATGGAGTTCAGAGCTTCCTCCTCTTGCAAACAAGATGATATGCACCAGAAACCAAAGTTAAAAGTCTTAAGTCTACTGCAATGAACAAATTTGAATGTTGCATATTTCAAAGACTACTTGATAAGTTTAACCTGACTAGATAAATAGCTTAGCTGGCCAGGTTGAACACCTACTGCTGAGGTATATGTTTAGAATATTCTAGTTAGAAAGGGAATGCTGGGCTTATACTCATTAGACCAGTTTGCAAATGCTTTTCTCTGTTATTTTACATTGTGACTCCACCATTCTAGCATGTACAGGGTCTTGACTCACTAAAGAGTCCCAACTTAATACAGTCTGAAAAAAACAACACACTGCACTAGGCATCCAAAGGTCATAATGTTCAACTCTACAATCAAAGAAAGATCTTGACCTCACTTTTACCCCCAAATTAGAAAAAGTGCTCCCAGGTTATTTTTACAGCTCTTAAAAGTAAAGCCTATTCTATACCAAAATACTTAAAATATTATAAAGTAAAACCAAAATCTGGAAATATTCTTTATCAACAACTCACCAATGTAGAGGGTGGGGAAAAAGTAGGTTTACAGTTGTAAGAGAAACAACAGTTTATTCTTGTATTATTATGTTTGCCGCACCCTATACTTAGAGCAATGGTTCTTAACTGGGGTGGGGAGAGGCTGCCACAGGAGTGACTGTACCTCTCATTTGGCAATGTCTGAAGACATTTTTGGTTGTCACAACCAGAGGGTGGGGTGCTACTGGCATCTAGTGGGTAGAGGCCACGGATGCTGCTAATGCACAGGACAGCCCTCTAGAATAAAGACTGGACCATCCTAAATGTCAACAGTGCGTAGGTTGAGAAACGGGACTTAGAGCAAAGATTAGAAGATTCGGATTAGTTCTTGGCTGGGTTTCATTTGGCCCAAGGGTTATGCTGTTCTATTTGCTATGGGTACAACCCAGGAAATAGTTTCTCCTCAGAAGTCAGCAGTTATACTAAAGAGTTTTATGTTTACACTTCCCAATTTTTCAAACAAATAAATGGAATGCTTTGTTTTTAAGTTAAAGAAAAAAACAACAACACTTTTTATTAGTCTACAACACTCAAATTATTTTTTCTGTTGCTAATAAGGTCATGAGTAATAAATAGTCCCTAAATTTTCTGCTTAGCTTTGTATACTGGGAAGAATAATGATCTATGGCCAGGCTGTATTACCTACTCTTACTCATTTCACAAGGCAGAAATGACAAAAAGAGCATAACTACTACTGGAAGCATAGCTTTCCAAATGGATATCATAGGAGCAAGCCATACACTCTCATCAACAATTCCAGTATCACCAATTCTTTCTCCATCACCACCACCACCAACACCACCACCTGTCAACTTCTCCTTCTCTAGAAAACTGTGACTGACCATAAAGGTAGAAGCCTGATAATGTAATTTCTGAATTTTACTTTAGTGGAGAAAAAACATTGGAATTTGATCTTACTGCTCCTTTGCTTGGCTGCAGATTTAACCAGGGGATTACTCACAGAACATGTGTTCACTTCCTCTGAAGAGTGTAAGGTCATATGTGTTAAGCCAGATACAAATTTTGATATTGTTCCAGGAAAATAACTGAATGTTTTTTTTCTTTCGCTTCTTATCCCCAGAGAAACCAAAAGGAACATTAAACCCATTTAAATGACAATGAATTAATACAAAAAGAACACATGGCTTATTTTAGGCTGCTCTAAACTTCGAATCAACTGGGGTTTTTTGATAAACATGTGCTTATGATGCTGATTTCATGCGGCCCTCCAACCACCCCCATATATTAGTCACATTACTATTAATAAATAATGTAAATTCTTATTTTTTGAATTATATTAATATGAACATGGTGTACCTTCTAAAAATACTTTAACAATAGCAAATACAAATGCAGAAAGCTTGCACATATGTGAAAACTGTAGAGCAATGAAACTTTCATTAGAGTCACTTAAACTAGGAAAGGTTTATACTTTTCCAGTGGGTGTTCAAGAATTTCTTTACCACTGTGAACTAGTGTGTCTGATTTCACTTCCTCTAAGTGTCACTTCTGTCACATCTTATAATACATCTGTGAGATCTTATAATCAACTGAAAAAGAGACAATTAGAGAGTAGAAAGGTGTTCAAAAGAA